ATATCACGGGTGTCCAGGCCGTACTGTTTCGATCCGCAACGACAAGGACGAATGGACGATAACCCCAGCGTTCTGCGGGCAGGCTGTTCCACCTGGAAGACGTCGAGACCGCAGCCGTCTCCAGAAACATGCAGTCCACTCTCATCTTCAACGACAACAACAAATGGGTATTAGTGCCATCCAAAATCGACTGGAATCTCAACATCACGCTCCACTCTCCCCACGTTTTCACGGACAACAAAGATCACTACCTGACGAAAGTCGTGAACAACGGAACGCTTTTCATGGCTTACGTCCCTATGTCCAGACGCAGCGTGATCGTCAGCACGTTGAGGCAAAGAGTAGCCCACATGCTGTCGAGCAAACACGGGACGCAAAACGTGGGATTGCACATGGTGTCCAGGGCTCCAGATAAGGGCCGTTATCCGCGTATGTACGGATAAAAAATATGCACGATACGGTAGGAAATAAGTTAGAAAACGTAGCAGATACGCACCACAGCAATGGTGTACGGTTTTAGAATCACTTACAGACGTATTTATCTGAAAAAAAAGTATTGTTTTATTGTTTGTTGACCTGTTTACACAAGAGTAGCAATGTTGTGGTGCATATATGAAACGAAACACAAGATTACTGATAGTCCATTAGCTTCCATTCAGTACTCTAGATTTACACTTTAGGTTTTCCAGTACTCAATATTGAACAAATAAGGAGTAAGTACTCCTGATGTTGAAAAATTATCTGGAGCCCTGGTGTCGGAATTCGACAGCACGGTAGACGTCCTGGAAAATCTGCCGGCGAAATCCACGCTGTACATCCAAGTCTACCTTGGCGAACTGCTGTCGGCCCGTAACATCATCGAAATCGTGAAAGGGATCAAACTCCACTGGGCCAAACAACAACAATACCAAGTTTGCTCCGTTTAGGTGCGGGTGAACGTTAACGCCTACACCAGTCTGCAGGGAGTCACCGTGACTGTGGAAGACACGATATCGCTCACCAAAATTTTCCTACTCGACAACATACATCTCAATTATCCGATAACCAATTGAAAACAATTTCGTAATTTTGTATAAAACAACCGATGAACAACCATCATCCCAACATAACGCTAGCCAATCTCGGGGACACATGTGAATTCGATTCGGCGAGGAAAACACCTTGTACGTCCTGCACTTAAAAGACATATACGAGTGGGTGTCACCAGCAGACTTCAAACAGCCCGACTGGTTGATCAACATGACCCTCACCTCACCCCACATATCTTTTAAAAACAATGGTTACGTCTCCAAAATAACGAACAACGGGATCCTTCTCACGTCTTTCACTCCAGAGTTTGATGTACAAGTTTTTCGAATACCAGGTCACACGGGCAACATGTTAGATTCAAACGACATGGCTTCATATTTACGGTTTGATGTACCCGATTACCAATGGGATTTTTTCGATTCAAATTTGACTATCAAATCACACAACACGCTCGTAATAGATGTCTATCTCGCTGACGCTCGTGGGTCAGAACAAACGCTTTTGACTGGGTTGATAATACACTGGTTCACCAGACACAATCACCAACGGTGTCGTATCGCCATAAGACCGAATCGACACCCTTAATAAGCCCCGATGTAGTAATGCGTGTTATAGAAAAAAATCGATTCATGTCTCGGATATTTACGTTAACGATAATCTAAACCTTATCAGCCTCAAATACATCGATCAGACATTAACGAAAACCAATTAAATATTATTTTATAAAAAAATATATATATACACACACAGGATGGGACTGTACCCAGTCGTGGATGAAGTAGCGAAAACACTGGAAACCGTAGACGGGTTTCGTTTGCGACAGATATGTGAGATCAAACAACAACTAGAACGTGAACGCGATACACTGTCGGCATTACAGAAAAAATATCACAGGGCTGTCAATTCCGTGGACGGTGTTGACAGCGCTCTGGTTCCAGTCAGCATGGGATTAGGCGTAGCAGGTATCAGGTTATTATCCACCATCGTGGCCGCACCCGTGGTGCTAGGCATCGAAATAACAGCCGGAGTGGCAGGGTTGATGGGATTGACCCTTAAGTTCATATCTCGCAGACTGCAACGTAAAGCATTGAAACACGACGACATGAGAATTCTAGCGGAAGCGAAGTTAAACACGATAGACGATCATATTTCCACCCCGCTTACCGACTCTAAAATCTCCGAAAGAAGAGTTTCCTTTGGTGCTATCAGAAATCGCAAAATATCACAGAATGAAACAAGAGATTCGGACCAAGTCTCGTAAAAACGCTGTCATTTGCGAAGACCAGAAAAAATAATTCATAGAACAAGGGAAGCAACAGGCCTGACAAGCCTTCATTACGAAAACCAAACAAATCATAGGAGATTCACAATAAACTGTTTCGCGGACATCAACATAATGTAGCCAGCCGGCCATCTAACTCAGCGAGCTGTAGGTGAATAGCCGAGCGGAGACATGCACACTGCGACTCTCCCACAGCACTCGCTCAGTGCTACCGAGACAGCAGCGAGGTGACCCGGGGAACTGCCGAGAGCTGCGGTATGACTTTGCAGAAATTAACATAAGTTAACCAGCCAGCCAGCCAGCCAGCCAGCCAGCCAGCCGGTCGGTTGGCTGTACAAGCCGAGTCGAGACACACACACACACACACTGTGACTCGCCCACAGCGCTCGCTCAGTACTACCGAGATGACAGCAAGGCGACCCGAGGGGACTGCTGAGAGCTGCGGTATGGTTTAGTGGAAATCAACATAACGTAGCCCAGCCAGCCGGTCGGCTGTACAAGCCGAGTCGAGACACACACACACTGCGACAAAGCTTTCAACAAGGGCATAACTACATATGCATTCTACCGGAGAATTGATAGTCTCTAAATTAATCATTTGAAACCTCACGCTATGCGTTCGGTTCCAAATGAAATTTAGAGACTATCAATTCTGCCTAACATTCATCTAATTTCCCAACACAGTACGTTTATCTCCTAATTTGATTAGGTAACATTATCAACTTTTATTGTGAAAATACATAGTTACAATTCAGTAAGCTTTAGATTAGTAGCTTCATATATGTCTAATCTATTCCAGCTTGGATGTATAATTATTTGTCTTTAGATTCATTATATGAAACATGACAAGGTAATAATACCTAAAATGTAAATTCAAACTGTTCCATTGTGAATGAATTCTTTGTATGGACTCCACCCCTCTAGCCCCAAACAGAACAGCCAGGCTAGGTGCTAGAGGTACTAATTAGTGGCTTGTAACAACAGGAGGGGTAGGGGGACAGGGGCTGGAGGTACTAGTTAGTGGCTTGTAACAACAGGGGGCTAGGGGGACGGGGGCTGGAGGTACTAATTAGTGGCTTGTAGCAACAGGGGGCTAGGGGGACGGGGTCTAGAGGTACTAGTTAGTGGCTTGTAACAACAGGGGGCTAGGGGACGGGGCTAGAGGTACTAATTAGTGGCTTGTAACAACAGGGGCTAGGGGACGGGGTCTAGAGGTACTAATTAGTGGCTTGTAACAACAGGGGGCAAGGGGGACGGGGTCTAGAGGTACTAATTAGTGGCTTGTAACAACAGGGGCTAGGGGGACGGGGTCTAGAGGTACCAATTAGTGGCTTGTAACAACAGGGGGCTAGGGGGCGGGGTCTAGAGGTACTAATTAGTGGCTTGTAGGGGACAACAGGGGCAAGGGGACGGGGTCTAGAGGTACTAATTAGTGGCTTGTAACAACAGGGGGGGCTAGGGGACGGGGCTAGAGGTACTAAGTTAGTGGCTTGTAACAACAGGGGCTAGGGGGCGGGGGCTAGAGGTACTAATTAGTGGCTTGTAACAACAGGGGGCTAGGGGGCCGGGGTCTAGAGGTACTAGTTAGTGGCTTGTAACAACAGGGGCTAGGGGACGGGGGCTAGAGGTACTAATTAGTGGCTTGTAACAACAGGGGGCTAGGGGACGGGGTCTAGAGGTACTAGTTCGTGGCTTGTAACAACAGGGGGCTAGGGGACGGGGTCAAGAGGTACTAATTAGTGGCTTGTAACAACGGGGCTAGGGGGACGGGTCTAGAGGTACTAATTAGTGGCTTGTAACAACAGGGGCTAAGGGGACGGGGCTAGAGGTACTAATTAGTGGCTTGTAACAACAGGGGGCTAGGGGGACGGGGTCTAGAGGTACTAGTTAGTGGCTTGTAACAACAGGGGGCTAGGGGGACGGGGGCTAGAGGTACTAGTTAGTGGCTTGTAACAACAGGGGCTAGGGGAAAATTAGTATATTGTTTTGTATTTGTTAGGTAGTTGAAGAAAATATAATCTTCAGTAACATCTAAACCATTACATCTAATTCAATCAATGTGCATGAAAAGTATTTTAGTATCCACTCCCAATGAAGAGTACCAGACACTTACCTCTGTAAAACATCTCATAATCCCCTTTCTGCCAACATGTTCATTTACCAAACGCAAGATAAGCCTATGATAATGATTAGCAATTGCTATCAAAACACTCTAAGTACTTCCCTGTGATCAACACTAAAAGGTTGCATTTCTCGTAAGAAAACTCATCTTTGCTCAGTAGTACTACTCAATTGGTTGAAATAATAGGTTCAGTGCGATTTTAAAAAGTAAGACAGCACATGTGTGTCTCTTTGCTGAATAAGAGGTGCTTTCTGTTGACGCACATGTGCGTCTCTCGCCAGAGAAGCTAATAAGTTTCTCGCATTATATGTGTCTCTCAGCCTTAATGAGTTAATACATTATGAGATGAATACTTGCATCCTTTGCCCATGACAGTTAATTGTTTAATTGGCAGATCATGAGGAAAACATAACACTACATGTTTATTGTAAGTGATAACACTTGAAGCAGACAAACCATTCAACCACTTTTCATGTTTTGAACAAAACACCATATTTTTAAACTTATTCTATTCCACGATCTGCACTTCTCTCTTGCTTCCAATTGATGCTCAGTGGAACGAACGAGAACTTTCCCCTGTAGGCCACTCTTGTCCATAAGCCTGTGTTCCCCAGGCTGCTCTCCTTATAGGACAGGTCCCTAGTCCCTAGCTAAGCATGCAGCATGCAGCATCTACCTACGTGACTACCTCAGAGTGATCTTTCTTCTTCTTGTCGCACAAGTTGAGTTGTTTATTGTATCATGGGGAAATCTGATCCTCCAAATAAAAAATCTTAAGTTTTAAACCAGTGTAAAACAATATTTTCGACTTGGGACCCACACATTTCGTGTGTTGATTGTGTGGGTCTATGTTCTTGGGAGAAATGTTGTGATAAATGCGCAGGGTTTACTCCTGAGGATTTCAAGGCTTATAAACGGGTCTGTGCTCGTAGAATTGCAGATAGGGCTCGGAATACATCTATTGACCAAGGCCCCTCCCCTACTAAGAAACCATGCTTGGATCGTCCCACCCTCACGGCTCTACATTTGAAATCCCCACCCTTTCAGGCTGAGGATTCTTGAGACACTTCTTCAGATTCATACCTGTCTGAAGAGGTACAAAAGCTTTTTGGGACACTTCCATCACCTGGTTCAACGCCTCAGGCTGGTTCTAGGATAGTTGTGGTAGATAAACCTCAAGTTTCTACAGCCTCCCCTGACCTGCGGTCTACTCTCTTGGTTTCTAGGGCCTCTGGTTCGTCTCAGCCTGTGACTACAGTCACTTTGATTCATCAATCTGCGGTACCGGATAAGTCCGTTTCTCCTGGTCATCCCAGATGATCCCATTCCATTCATTGATCGATCTCATCGGAATGTCCCAGTTCTGCTAGTCGTTTGAGATCACCTCATGGTTTTGTCTTAAATCCATCTTGTAGATCGATTGAGCGGTCATGTTCACCCCAGCGAAGTGGTTCTTATCGTCGATCTGTTTCTGTTGATCGTACCAAATCACGTATTGATTCACATGGTTGTTTCGACACTTCCTCACGTTCGGATTCGTGCCACCGAACCAGTTCACCAGGCCAAATCAAGTCACCATGTCGTAGAGATTCGTGTGAACGGATGGGTTCATCTAATTGTGATGACTCACGTCGCCGAAACCAGTTCAGGTCTCCGTTCTGTTTCACTGAGTCATTCCACGGCTTCTGGGCAAATGGATTCAAGGGATCGAATCGATTCGGCTAGCCGAACCGTTTCACCTCACCAATCCGGTCTTCTCATCGTCTTCTCATTCTGGTTCACACCACTTAACTGCTTCACCGTATCGAAGTGTTTCACGTATTTGTTCAGGGAGTTTTTCCCGGACTGGATCACTTTGGTGTTCAGATTCACCTGTTCACTCTAGGTCATCTTATTGGGATGGTATACCGGGCTCTTCTAATAGAGCTAGATCTCAAGATTGAGTTAGGTCATCACATTCTTCTGTCCCTGACAGTATTCTACGGTTCGTTTGCTTTTGCCAAGTCACTCCCCAACTAGATGCCGGTGTAGCAGGCAATTTCTTCCCAGGTCTAAACTTTCCCCAGGGAGAATCTGGCCTAGGCCAAACTTTCCCCGGGGAAGTTTTGTCCTAGGATATTGTTTCCCCGGGGAAAGTTTGGGGAGATTCTGAACTAGCTAGGCTACTTCTTCCCCACCCTTGTTGAGAACAAGTTATTACAAACATCAAACCGACAGTAGTTTTGATTTAATTTTTTCATACACATTTTTGCCAGATAGGCCATTCTTGCCTCTGACTTGGGTGTAGTGATTTGAATAGCTATGTCTTGTTTTTCATTTCTGACTTTTTCAAGACAAACATAATCATGAAAACAAGGTTGGGGAAGAAGTAGCCTAGCTAGGCCAGAATCTCCCCTTTGATATACTGAACAAGGATGGGGAAGAAGTAGCCTTTAAAGTTGATTCAAGGGTGGGGAAAGTTTGGCCTAGGACAAACTTTCCCCGGGGAAGATTAAGCCTAGGGGGGGAAAGTTTGGCCAGGGGGAAAGTTTGGCCTGTTACACCGGTATGGTTCCATGGACCGTCGATTTCCTTCACATCGTACTGACTCTTCGGTTCATACTACCGTGGGGAATATTTTACCTGAATTGTGGATTCCTCTCACTGGCCTGATTTGAATGCAATGCTTTGGGCTATTACAGTGGCTTGGAATCAATGCCAACCTTCGACTACTTCGAATTCAGTTCCCTATCCTTCAGCTGGTGACCAGTCTTCCTCTGGTGTGCATAGTGTGTCTCGTCAGCCTTCATTCCACTTTTCCAATTAACTCAGATGTTTCTATCCCAGAGGGTAGTATCGACCTTTTAGAGCCTTCACATGTCCATGTACTTGCTTGGATTGGTGAAAAGCTTCAACTATCAGTGAGCAGATCCCCGGATGACCTTTATGTCTCTTATGCTCTTAGGAATAGAGACTCATCAACCATTACCTAGCCTCTATGACCGTGTATTCTACAATTGTCCGGTTCACTGGATGATGCGTTTAAGAAGTTGAAACACGTTGAGAATGGGTTGTCATCTGCCTAGTTTATGCCATCCATCACTCATGGTCATGGGTTTTCTGTATTGGCTTCTTCTCCTTCGGTTGACAAAGACATTTCTGCCCTTTGTGGCAAGTGTGCTGGATTCACCTTTCTTTGGCAAAGACAGGGGAATTGGCTCACATGGATTTGACTGTACGCCGTACACTACCCTTTATCAATTGTGCTGTTTCAGCAGTGGACGCTGTTGCTGTTGCTGTTGACCATGCCTATACTGACCAAGATGTGTACATTAGAGGATGCATGGCTGGTTCTAGACCAATTTCAGGTCATTCTAGACCAACTATCCCAATTTGTGGTTATGTACTCGGAAGTGCGTGAGAAGAGGCCCCTCAACGTTTCATCTTGGGATGAACTATTCAAGGCTGAATTGGTTAGGCAGCCTTGGTCCTCAGATATGCTTTTTGGTGGCAAGATTGAAGAGGTGTCTACCAAGGTACATCAGGAGACTCATTTTCAAGTTTCAGTAGAATTACTGAAGTTCCTTAAAACAACACAGAACACCACGTTTTTCTCCAACCAATCTGGAGTTGAAGGATTGCTTTTGTGACAGACCCTTTACTCAAACGTGGAACAGGGTTAGGAAACCCTCCCGTGGTGGCGCCTCCCACCCCCAAGGCTGATCCTGATACCGGGAGGTAGCTCCCTACCACCCCCAATCGTCCCGATCTTCGACTCACCAATGGGCGGGAGATTAGGGAAGTTTGCTCCCAATTAGGACATTCTTGGAGACTCACTCACGGATATCAGATGCAACTTGTCAGGAATCCATCTCTCACAGTCACTCCTCTTCAACACAATTATCCTCTGGATCAAAACTTGTTTCTTCAGGCCACCTTAGACACACTTCGGAACAAGCATGCTGTAGAACAGCTCGACCCAGTCAGCGCTATTCCGGGGTTCTACTCCCTCGTCTTTCTGGTGCCAAAAAGAACTCAATCAAACTTATATTGAACATGAAACAGTTCAATTCCCAGTTTCTGTCACTGCCACCCCACTTCAGAATGGTGTCAGTCAACCTTCTACGCACCATATTGAAGAAAGGGGACTATCTCATTTCTCTCTACCTGCAAGACGCCTACCTTCACATGTCGATACATCCGGATCACCGGAAGTATCATCGGTTCACGTTCCACGGGCGCCATTACCAGTGGATGGTGCTGCCGTTTGGAATATCTACGGCCCCATGGCATTTTACTCGGGTAACCAAACTGATAACAAGCTACCTGCATTGTTATCAGGCGTCACTTTCGAAAGCTATATCGATGACTGTGTTCAAGCTCAGCAGGATCCAGTCGTCCTTCATCCCCACAGGCAGTTCACCATCAAGTTGCTAACGCAATTAGGGTGGCTCCTGAACTATGAGAAGTCAGAGTTAACACCGACACAGTTCATAGTGGCAGTATTGGCGCATTCTATCTTTAGCATTGAACTCACCCAGAACTCTGCGCCAGTGGCAGGACTTCCTAGATTTGTTGACTTGGCACAAGCACTTACAGGGGCCAACTGCAGTTTCGCCCTCTTCGCCCTCTTCACTTTAGAATACTGATTACCTCAGTCTGTAATGGTGTAATCCATTAATCAGTAATGCATACAAACAATCACTTAGTAATAAATATATAATTTATTAAGGCAGGGTTATTAACAAAAATACATATAATTTCTAGTTACATATCACAGTCTTTGTAGAACATTTTTATGGAACTTATGTCCTAAAGTGTCCAAGATTTCACCCGCACATTTGACAGTCACAACACTGTCACTCTGTACTGTTGTTGGAGCATTATATACCATCACAGTGTCACTGCCGTGACATGCAGTCTTTACCTGTTTTTTTACATGACAGGGACACCCATAAGTAAATCTTTTGCTTATTGAATATTCTTTAAACATTCTGAAATATCTGACTGACAAATTTCATTAAATCATATAAAACTTATAAAACTGGCTATTATTAATAATGTCACTACCGTTATTGCGTCACTGCCATAACAATTCAATTCATATTCTCATTTTGAATTATTTGCTGCACATTACTTTATTTTGCAAATCAGAATTGAAAGGAATTGTTCGGCTTGTTGGCCCCTTTTTATGCAATAAATATAAACTTTCAAAACTCTTTAGCCATGTTATATTATAAAACTACACAGGGCTACAGATAAGGGGCGTACAGGCGTAATGTACGCCTCAAAATCAGTTAAGTACGACATAATATAAGATTTCAAGCGTATCGTGTACGCACATAAATACCTTTGTACATCTAACATTTAATTTCCGTGCGTATCGTGCAAATGGAAATATATTTCGGATAAATACTTTTCAAGTTTCTTTTGCGAAACACGATTTGACACATGAGGAAACCCCGACAGTAGGAATCACTTGCGTTGCCATGCAACGATATGCGTCACTATTTTTCGATTGGCTAAAAACTACACTGTTCCTATTTATATCCAGTCGGACCTGACATTTCGCGCATCACACGGTCGCTCAGTTATTTCTCACACGACTTCAAATACAAATACATGGTTGGAAATAGTGATCGAAGAATCGTCCAGACAAACCACAACACCAACACGCTCACACAAAAACATGTCAGTACTCCTTCAAACTTTTCAGTACACCTCCACTTGCAATATGATGTGTAAGTACACTCACCCCCCCCCCCAAAAGTTATCTGGAGCCCTGACTACATATTTTAATGTACATGTAGTTAAGCATGTTAAGCATGCATAATTTATGTCTTGTATGCCTAAAAGGGGTGATGAGAAATTGTTGTTTTAACAATGTGTGGTAGTATTGGGATGTGGAAGTTTTGGGATATAACCATATCCAGTCCTTCAGTGGTGGCTCAACGAGCAGAATGTTTGCGCAGGAGTCTCTATGGTGCCCTTCACACAGACTTTTCACCTGTTCGTCGATGCATCAATCGAGGGCTGGGGTGCCCACTTTTTCATCATCAAGTGGCCGGACAGTGGTCATCAGAAAAGGTCCTTCACATCAATGAGTTGGAATTCAGTGCTGTCATTCTCGCCATTCAGCATTTGGGCGGCAAAACTATGGTCGTCCCATCTACTGATTCAATCACACAATTCTTGGCTCGACAGGCTCTGCAGCTCTGCTTCAGTAGATGTTTTGATTTTATCATCTAATCAATTCACTCAACATAATGGCCAGCGCTCGACACATTCCTGGGGCGAGAAATGTCATGGCCGATGCCCTGTCACATCCAAAATGATCGTCACCAACAGAGTGGAAGTTACTGTCCCTGATATTCCAATCGATGATCTACCTGTTATCACAACCAGACATAGATCTATTCGCCACTCGGTACAACCATCAGCTCCCGCAGTTCATGTCCCCAATCCTGGGACCCATCATGGAAGGGTCTAAATGCTTACGCATTTCCTCCCCCGGCTCTACTACCCAAAGTAGTTCAAAGTTACTTGCGACCAGCAAGATTCGTCTACTTTTGGTTGTGCCCTTTTGGCCAGCAAGAAGCTGGTTCGTCAGCACAAAAAAGCTAGCAGAACCGAATCCAGAACCGCTACCGCCTGAAATGACCTACTTCGTCATCCACATTCAGGCGTGTACCACGGGTCATCACAAACCCTGAATTGCACGTCTGGTGCATTTACAGAAATCACTGATAGCCAAGGGTTACTCTCATAGAGTAACTACAGCTATAACATCTGCACACTGGACATCGACCCAACCGTTGTAAGACGATAAATGGAAGAAATTTGAACTGTACTGTGAAATTAAGAGAATTAATTCTCCACCACTGCATCAACTCAGGTTGTTGAGGAATTTCTATAGCATTTATGGGCTACAAAAACACAAAGGTACTACATTGTCAAACTACCTGGCTGCCATTAATTCGGTTGTAGCCAATACTGCTGGAACCAAGGTGTCTACTACTCCTGAGCTCCAGTATCTGCTTCATTCTGTTCAGACTTGCTGACCAGTCTAGGAGGTTTAGACCTCCTGCATGGGATTTGTCAGTTGTCCTTCATCACTTGGTATCCAGTGATTATGAGCCGCTAAATGATAAGGAGTTTGAACAAATAACATGTAAAACTTTCTAGTAGCATTAGCTACTGTGGCTTGTATTTCAGAGTTAAACGCACTTGATATGAATTGTGTGGGTTTCGAACAGAAACGACATGGCTGAGTATTTCTGCTTAGTTCACATGCTACATTCTGTTTCTAGAATCTTATTAAACAATAACTAAGTATCTTGCAATGAGATCCGATGGTACAGTCCGTTTGAGTCAGAAACGGACCAATGAATTGCAAATTTTATCATTGTACAAAATTGCCACATAAATATAAATAGTACACATGTTTATCATTGACTAATACCCAACAGCTTTCTTATATTTGAAAATTTTCCGGACTCCTCCCAAAAAGTTGTTTAAGAAACTATCATCATTGAAAACTCAAAAGTTGTTATCTGTCGCGGCGGGATGAAACCGCAGAAACGGAACAGCCAGTCATGGCGGGGGACATCTCAAAACCTTTTCCTGGAGACCTGTCAGTTCCTCGTCTGTCGTAGTGTCATAGTCACGACTTAAAGGGATGACAAGTGGTGACACAGTTGCCTGTTGTAAGCCATCCTGAGACCAGTAACCTTGTTCAATGACGTTAGCTACCTTGTTGACACAGTTTTGCCAAGTTTCAGTCGTGATTTTGTTAAGGGATTCCTTAACCAAAACCTCTGTCACGTAATCTAAAAGTTGTGTTTGATCTGGCAACATCTCCTTTGACCATACCCCATATCATTTCAATGGGGTTAAGGTCACAGTGATAGGGTGGAAGTCGCAGAAAATCGTGACCCTTACTTTTTATGTAACTGTCAACTTTGTAGAAAGGTTCACCTTTGTGGGGTTTTATGATCTCATATAGCTGAGGCTTCGTTGCCTTTGAAGGCCGTGCGATCTGAAATTTGTCGAGCCATGATATCATATCACCTTTTCGACTGTTCAATGTCGTGGCTTTACTGTCGGGGTCCTGCACGCTGTGGTATGGGGCATTGTCCATTACGATAAAAGACTTCTCTGGTAGAGCTGGTACCAACTTGTTTTTAACCCAATCGAGGAAAACCGCACCATTCATCTCGGAGGGTAGTCTGTTATCTGTGGACTTTGCCCTGAATACCAAGTCGCAGCCAGGGAGAAAGCCTTTGCTGGAGCAACCAGCATGGAGAATGATTAGTCTCTCTCCATTCCCTAGAGGCAGCTTTCTACGTGACCCCTTATCATCCCCATCGGGTACCCACTGACTGCTGGCAGCGTGAACGATATCAGGGTGTTCACAGAGTACTGACCTATTCTCCCCCGAAATTTTCTTATAACGATACCCGAAAGAGTGTAAGAAGGCCAGAGTGTGTACTTTGATACTCTGAGGTTGTGTTCTTGCTTCAAATGCTTTTTAAAATTTTCAGCAACATGTATTTGTTTTCAGAATAGAGCTTGTTGATAGACTGCCTTACAAGGTTCTTTTGAAAGTTGTCCAAATGTTTTAATTTGTGTGATTTTGACACGACCCCATACCTGCTTCGCATCACCCTCACAAATGTTTGTGTTCCAGAACATTTGTCAGTACCCTTGCTGATACTCCTAAAGCTTTTGCTGCCCGCCTTACGGAATATGTTAATGGCATAAAATGGTTTGCCCTTTCGGCTTCAGCACGGAAAAAAATCATACACTTTAATCATCAACTGTTTCCGTCAGCATTCAACTTCATTTTCATCAGGCATGTGTATCCCGTGCACGACGAGATAGTGGCTGTTCCGCTTTCTGCGTTTCACCCGCCGCTGACAGATAACAACTTTTGAGTTTTCAATGATGATAGTTTCTTAAACAACTTTTTTGGTGGAGTCCGGAAAATTTTCAAATATAAGAAAGCTGTTGGGTACTAGTCAATGATAAACGTGTACTATTTATATTTATGTGGCAATTTTGTACAATGATAAAATTTGCAATTCATTGGCCCGTTCTGACTCAAAACGGACTGTAGTTAAAACGTCCTGGGTATCCTATCATCTCCAGAACCATAACATATATGTTCAGAGACTTATGATGTAGAAAATAGGATCGACATGTACAATTAAAGTCACTCACTGTCACTCACTGTCAAACACGTAAGTTCTCCAATATATCGCAATATGGGTCCCCGAAGATTTATAGGACACATTAAGCATGTGTGAGGTGTAAATGATTCATAACCGCCAGAATGGGCTTGCTTCTGCTTTTTCCAAGTAATGCAAACACCTTTCTAATTCTGCAGAATAACCAAGGCCAAAAAGTGACATGTCACATGAGACAGTCATTCCTTTCTTTGATAAATGTCAACTCATGAAAATCACCTCAAAAGCTATCCAGGATAATTAGAGGTGTTTCACCACACTTTACAGAAAAGAAGAGATTTTAGTTGAACTTGATAAACATGAACTACCGGGCAAAAGAAAGTTATCACTTTTTAAGTAATTGTATAAAAAACAAAAACACTGGTACAGGTTTTAACCCAAGCAGAAAACATTCGCCAAAACCCAACATGGTCCCGATAACAACACAGCTTTGTACGAATCATGCATTTTTCAAAATAATTTTGGGACATTGGTCCAAATGCATGTGCAAGATTGTGGCTTAAATACCGATGTTGAACAGAGTAAGCATGCAGTAACCAAAAAAAAAACCCACGAATATGCCAAGACATATACAGGCCCAAAAAGACAGGGCGATCGATATGGCCAACATGGTTCTTCAGAATGTCAGCTGGCTAGAACCTTCAGCCACCATCAGCCACCATCAGCCACCATCAGCAAATTGATAAACTGCTACTAGCAAACAGGCCAAACCCAAGACAGCCCAAAATTGTGAAGACCAAGAGTCATGACACTGCGCTGAAGAATGCTACATCTGGCAGATCCACCTGTGGAACAAATGCGTTACTGTGACGTTAATGGCAGTGACAGCACTAAGACGTGCCATCAGCAGATGAACAGTCCTTAGATGACTTGATATGGCTGGTATACAAGCCTACCGTCTGTCTAAACCATCAAAGCAGACTGCAATCAGCACGAACGTACAACAGTTGGTGACAGTTTCGGTTCAGTTTGTTCAGAAACAATTGCAGAGTACAAGTTTTTCGACATGGGGGAGAACGACTGGCTCCAAACTGCATTCAAGAACTTCATTTGATCGATAAAGGAGACGTCATGGAAATTTGGCGGAAATTTGTGGCCAGAGAACAAGACTGGTTATCATCCAAGGAAATCTGAATGCCCAGCGATACAAAGATGAAGTGTTGATACCTTTTGTTGTGCCCTATATTCGACAACAGCTAAGAGGAGTCGTTTTGCAGCATGACATCGCAAGAATACCTGCACAATGTTAACGCCAACATATTGCCTTGGCCAGCTCATTCTCCAGACATGAACCCCATGAAACATCTCTGGGCTCATCTTGATCATCATTTGAGACTGTATGTACCACCCCCAGCAAACCAACAAGAACTTGAACAGACACTCTTGGACTCATGGATCAGGATTCCTGCTGACGTAATCTGCTGACTGACAGCATCAATGAGGAGACATGTGTTGGCGTGTATGGATGCCCAGAATGGTCACACTTGGTGACGTGTCCCCAGGCTTCTGTCGCATTATGTGACTCTTCATTTTTAATTAACTCTGATTTGCGTAATTTTGAAGTTTTGACCCCTGGACTCTTTCTTAATGAACTGCAGCAAATGCAAGACCAGCATTACAATTAATTTTCAGTCAAAAATGTTGGAAAATGATTTCTGTTTATAAAGTAATTATCATAAATCTCACATACATCTTTGTTTCTATCTTTTGGTGAAAAAATCGGTGATAACTTTCTTTTGCCTGGTAGTTTATGTTCACAAACAAGATATTGAACAGAACATTTAATTCATGATAATTCAGCTATGGCAAGGTGTTGGAGCAGAAAGAAGAACTGGAGCAGAAACACTTGCACCTTCTACAGATTCTTGACAGTGAAAGGCAGGCCAAGTGGCACTATGTTCAGCAGACTGAGGAACTGGCAGCAGAGGTGAAGAAACTCAAAGCTGAGGTTAGCATACAATGGTTTATATTTTACATATCTCAATAATGACATCACATTTTGACAATGCTCTAAATTCTCTCAAAATGTATTTCCTTGCACTGTATAGTATTCCCAGAAATGATTGAGAAATTGTTTTGGCAAATATCTAATACATGTATATAAACTAGTAGTTTTACTTAAATGAATATGTTGAGGAAACGTTCTCTTACAGTCTAAGTGTCTTATGTGGGACCTCCTTGCCCTGCAATACATGACTGAATGTGCCACAATCGAAGTTTGTAGGAAATCGTGTGACAGCATATATTCAACCACTTCTTTCTTCATATCCTCAATATTTCTAAGTCCTTTTTGGTTTATTCTGTCCTCCTTTAGTCCCCCACACATTCTCAATAGGGTTAAGATCTGGGCTGTAGCTGGGCCAGTCTAAATCTTGAACATTTTCATTTGACAACCACTGTTTCTAGTAGCCTGCAGTGTGTTTTGGGTTGTTATCATGCTGGAAAACCCAATTATCTTCATACAGTGTTTGAGCCGTTGGAATGAGGTGATCATTTAAGATGTCAACATATCATTCATTCATCATATATCCAGTGAAAATATCCAACAGCGTCACTCCATGTGATGATATACCACCCCACATGTGAAATTTCTGGGTTCGTTTTGGGCATTGGTAGATAGCTTTCATGGTATCTTTTGTCCAAATTTTCACACAGAAAAGCCAGACAGAACTTTCATCTGAAAAGAAAACATTATCCCAATCTTGATTTTTGTGAGCCTTAAACATCTTTATTTTTGTGCATCTTTCATCAGTGGTAAGGAAATTCTGCACTTTTCACCCTGTTAAGTCTTTGTAACTCTTGTCTAAAGATTTCATTACATACCTGAGGACTTCCTCTAATAATCTCATTTCTGATATTCTCAATGATTTTCAGTTGTTAACCTACTCAAGCAATCTGACCAAGTCACCAGCGATCCATAGTACTGATCTTCCTTGGCCTCCCTGCCCCTGTCTTGTACTCAGTCCCAACTCCTGACTGTATATTCTTCAAAGTTCTGTATACTATCGACAGAGGAATGTCATGTCCACCAGCTAACTCTTCTGCATCAATCACACCCTTTCAAAATCATCTAGAACCAGCTTCCTTTTTTCTGCTGTCAAATCTGCCATGTCAACAAAGGAAGTCGTCTGCTACACCAGGGAGATAACTCTTGATGTGGTAAGGTTCATTCTTAAGCCTACAAGAGTTGCCTCCCATATTGAGTAATTTACTATGTAATGTAACACCTATTTTAAAATTATGTTATCAGTATAAGGAAACAAGGATTTTCCCAATAAATTCTGGGAAAACTGTAAACAGTATTCCCTCAGAAAACACTTCACCAATGAAGTTTTAATGCTTGTTCCCACCAAAATTATGACCCAGTTTGTTTCAGTCCAAATTTTCATATGAAATACCAATTATATTAGTCTGCCAGTTTGTACAAAGCGTAATCTTTTTGAAAATATTCACCGTCATGAGAACTCTTAGCTCAATGTATAGGTTTTCTTGATTGTATGATTTTGGACCTGTCTGAAGTTTCTTTCTTGGAATATTTGTTACAAAAGTGCATCTGAAAAAGTCATAATGATTTGAACTAAATATGATGTCAACATTGGAAAGAAAATGCATGACAAATATTAGCTCATTGTTACTCTAAAAGAGCTGAGCATGCCCTTTGAGACCATTAATCTCTAATTCAACCTTGGTCGGTGGGGTAGCCTAGTGGTTAAAGCGTTGGCTCGTCACGCCAAAACTCCGGGTTCGAATCCCACATGGGTACAATGTGTGAATCCCATTTCTGGTGTCCCCTGCCGTGATGTTGCTGGAATATTTCTAAAAGCTGTGTAAAACCAAACTCAGCCAGTCAGTCAGTAATTCAACCTCATTTATATTTTTGTTTCTTTGGTTTACAAGCTAAATACCAATGTTGTTGGGTTTCACTTAAATGGTGCATTACATTTCCAACTTTCCTTCTATGTCAAGCTTGCGAACTATAATGTAGCGTAGTAAGTTCTGTAATGAGTTCAGCTTAAATCATGCATTAAGCTTTATTTTTAATAATTTCATAAAAATTAGATTTTTCTCCTCTGAATTGAAACCTCTCTTTGTTGACACATGATAAACCCTCCATGTGAGCACATGTAAGAAATCTGATATGCAGCTTCAAATGCTTGTTTGCATGGTCAGAGAATCAAGAACCCTTTAGACCAAGTATCAGATATTTAGGCTCTGAGATATCAAATCATTACATACTTAGACAAAAAAAAGTAGACGATGCTTTGTTTTAAGGTGAACAAACTTAAGTGTCAAACAAAGTAAGTAAGAACATCTTTAAAGAAATCAAGTACCCAAACACAACCTTGTATGCTTGATTTACCACTGTCACATTTTTCAGCAAACATATAAGGCTTTCTTGAAATGGTCACAGCACCTTAATTGAACATGTTTAATCATAAAGAAACTTACTTCATTGACCATGCAGCATTTCATGTCAGGATATTGTTGCACTCGTGCCTGACCTTTGTCCATTGAACATGTCTGAGACAAAAAATCACCCATCACACTCAACTAACTAGGTGCTCAGTGCTTTCCCAGACATTCAGTGACAGTTGCTGAAAAATGCAAGTTTTCATATTTGACCTCAACCTTTTTAATGACCTTTGCGCCACCGTCTCATCACACCAATCACCAAAACCCTTTACATCTGATTGACGACTCCTAAGCAGATATGAGCACATCATTTCTATTTGCCAGTACCTTTTATTTCTTTTATGTCAGGACACATGTCTTGATGATTCCCTCTATCATAATTTTTGCATAGTGGACTTGAATCAAATTGTTTCTTTTAGGCACCATAATACTTTCTCAACACTGTCTCAAGAAAGCACTTACTAATCGTTCAAAGATCAGCTGAGTCCTTTGACCAAAGTAATGTTGACTGTAATCCCAAGGTCACAGACAGAATTCATTGGCGCAGAAGTCAGGAATTGTCTTTTTGCAACCAAAGCAAACTAATGCAATTACTGAGAAACTCTCTAGTCCGTCTCATGATAATTTAATCATTGCTGTCAATCTTGGTGTAAGTAATGCTTAACATGTCCAATAACATGAGATAGCAAAGGCATAATGTTTGATAATGGGATGCCCTGCAGATCCATTGTTGTCAAATCCTTCTACTTTTGGGATGGTTTTGTTGGTTGTGAGTGATAAGCTCTTGCTTAACACATAAGTTTTGCAGAAGGAAGTTTTACTAGAGATATAGAATTTACAGTTAAGTTTCAACATTTGTGAAGGGTGGATTGGTATAGGCCACTGTAAGTGGTTGCTAGGATGAACAAAACCAGCCATACATCCCATGCTGCATAAGTGTTTAGCCTGGGAGGATAGTTTTGGTGAGAGTGACCCATGGGGGAGAGATATTATCAGGGAAGAACTGAGACAATATCCATGATGGACTGTGTTTCATTCATGGAGGGAAAGGATCACTGAAGCTGGGATTGATTTGTAGCAGTTTAAAGGCTGCATCCTTGCACAAAGTCTTAGTATAGCTGAATTCAAGAGCTGAAAGCAATGTCAAAGCCATGAAGATATTTGTCAGGTCCTGGGTTAGATTAGTCTCATTCCATTGGGAAGAAGGGGCAAGGAACAAATGCCTCTTCTCTGTCATATTTTTAATTTCTCAGTGTATGGAAGAATGGAAATAATGAAGGATAATCTTGTGCAGCAGGGAATGACATACACAAAGAAACCGAAGTAGTTCAGTCCTGGTCACAGATGAAACTTCTTTAAGCTGTCTCACAGACCAGGTCACTAATTCAAACTAGTCATCAGATGTGGGACATATACCTGAAATGAAACTAAGAGGTTTTCGGTAGGATAAATACGTTGTTCACTGGTCCCTCAGGGCCTATGGGTGGATGTACCCTTGATGTTTCTTAATGTTCCCTGAGCCGAACATAAGCAAACATTGAGGGTACATCAGCCCTATATCCCCCTCGAAACCAGTGAACAACTTATCTCTAACTCATTAAGCCCGAGAGTCACCTCACTACTCAACACCTTGAACCCCTCGCTGATTACCCCACTCTCTGTTGCCAGAGACTAATTAGTGCTAATC